CCTGGGCATGTCTTTCCAGCCTCGCTGATCACAGGGTGGATCTTAGTTGTGGCAGTCGTCTCAGGACTGCGATCATCTTCCCTGCATAGACTGTCTAAGTCAAGTCACTGACTGGACTCCTTTGGCAACAAGCAGGCGGGCCGGTGAGGTGTATACCTGAGGATCAAGTGATCGATGGAGGGGACTGTTTGTGCTGGACTCTCGCCACCACAGTGCTAATCACAGAGCACACAGCAGCTGAACAATTCTTCAGAGAAGTTTTCCAGAATATTAATGGCTCGCTGTCTCATTTTCTTCCCTTTTGTTGACTCTCTCTGATCTTGTCTAAAAACAAATTTGTAAACTCACTGACACAGGAAATACTCATTCCTGCTCTTCAGTGGGAGGGTAGTTTTACCAGAGCGTTTATGCCCATGGAACTAGAGGGTAGGAAGGAATGGAATAACCATTTGTGTAGGAAAGATTCAGTTAATGATGTTGACTAGGACGTAGTAAGATAGCCACTGCTCAGCGAGTGAATTCAACACAAACCAAGCCCGAAACACATTGTTCAGTTCATTGGGACTGGCCTGTGTTTTCTTTCTGTCCATTTTCTCTAATTTACTATTAGAGAAATTCAGGGAACAAGGTTACGTATTCTTGACATAATTGTTTGGAAACTGTTCTTGTTTATTTTTAATGTCATGAGATATTTAATGACAGGCTTGAATTTGCCAGAGTTTGGAAGAGCCCACTCTCTGAAAAAACTGGTCATCGAGACTTCACTGCAGTTCTGGTCTACCTACTCTATTCCATTTACATAAATATTTTAAATTGAAAAACACTCTAAATTTTCTCATTTAGTTGACTAATTCTGTGATTTGCATTATTAGGTTCTCAGTTCTGTTGATATTTTTCATTCCTTTTTCCCTAAGGAAAAATAAACTCATAGATTTATTATCATTATACTTATATCTGATCCTTTAATTTCTATTTTAACCTAATTCACTTAACTATCATTTTCTTAGGACAATTTTAAAGCAATTTTGTTGCTTTTATTATATACTCCTTTCAGTGCATTTTACTTAAGAGGAATAATTTTTCAGTTTTCTTTGGATCCCAGTCTTATGTCTATATATTTATTACTGCTATCATTTTTGTTTTCTAACTATTATATAATCTTGTTTGATTTCTCCCAGGTCTTTCTTTTCTTTCTCCCTCCTGTTAGATTAAGGACCTGTCACTTTAAGGTACAACTTCCTTAACCAGACATAGCACCTTAGGAGAAATCAGGTTACTAACTGCCCCCAATACACACACCCTAGCCTGTTTTTTAGAACAAAGAAATGATGGGCCCCTGCCATCCTACTAGGTAGGACTGGTTAGAGCACTCTGGGCTGGGGATGGATGTAGGGCAAGCAGACCCATTCTGTCCATCCCACAAGTGTAAGACAAGTTTTGGTCTTCCCTAATGTCTACCTCCACATCATGTCTCTTGCAATGTAGGCTAAAGCATATGGTGTGGGACTTCCTGCCACCCCACTGGAAACCCGTAAAAGTCAGAAACCACTTTTGTTTGAAGGATTTAAAGATTGGCCCTTCCAGTCACCTCACCATCACCCACTGCTATATTCATGGCAGTTTTCTTTCTTAATGAAACTCCTCTTTGGACCTGATGGCCTGTATTCTCCACTGAGGGTCCACCTCCTTATCAAACTGTTCAGAAGGGTGTTCTCACATCAGCTCTTGTCCATGAATCTAGAGCTCTTTCTTGCAATGGTAGATCAAACCCAGGGACTCATGCCTGTTAGGGGAGCAAGCATTCTCCCACTGAGCACACCTGAGCTCCTTCTTGTGTCTTACCAGAAACTTGAAAAACAATAGTTAATGCTTCCATTGAGGAGGCTTTATTTTTTAATTGTCATTATTCATTTTTATTCTAATCACTGTAATAAAACATGGTCTGTTATTTTGAGCTTTTAAATTTTTCTGCCATTTCATTTTGACCTAGTTGATAAATGATTATTATCTTTCATGACTGCTGATAAATACATATTCTATAGGGCTTTAAAAGCATGTGTATTTTAATATAACTCAATCATATAAATTATACTTTCTAACCTTCCTTTTCTTTATATCTAAACACATTTTTAAAACTTTGGTAGATTGGTTAACACCATAAAGAGTATATTTCCCAATTTCTTTTTTTATTTAACCTTCATAATATATAAGGAGATGAATGTAAGTTCTGGATTGAAAACAAGTATTTATATCACATTTTCTTCATTATTAATCACTAGCTGTACATATAAGTGATATGTAGCAGAAATAAAAATTTCCTCCTGAATGTTATAATTTTCCTGATACTACTTGGTAATAAAGTCTTAATTATTTTTTTAATGAAAGAAGAATATCTCTGATGCAAACAACCATGCATAAAGTTGTTCCTTCACTGGGCTACTTTTCTAACAGGACAATCAGTAAAGGTTAAAGACAAGCATCTGTAATCAGCTGCACCCCCAGTGGGATACTGAAACAGGTGGCTTGAAACAGAAAGTGATTGCCATTCTACCTTCATCCAAACTTGGAATGCAGCACCAAGAACAAAGCTTCCTGTAAAGTGTGGATCCCTGTGGGTTTAGCAGTCTTGGCAGTGATAATGGAGGGTGTAATGGGGCATGGTGGAGGTATGTGGGGCATCTCTGTGCCTTTCACTTTCACTGCAAACCTACAATGATCTAAAAACAAGGCAAAAGAGGACCAGAACGAGGAAGACAGAGATGTTCAAGGAGTATGAAAGGGGAGGAAGTTTGATCCTGGGCTTAAACTCTCCAGTTCACTCTTCCAATGGTTTTTGATGCCTCTGGGCCACAGCTAGACAGTTACCACAGTCCCATTTCATGCAAGAGACACAGCTGTCACAGGGTAGGGAATCTTGACTTAGACTGTGTGCAGTGCTACTGCTCTGAAATGTCACACCTTCAGTTTTTAAACATTTAATTTAATTTGATGGAGACAGGTTTCTGTCTGTAGCTGAGGCTGTCCTTGACCTCGTGGCAGTTTCTTAATCTTAGAGAGCTGGGATTATAAGTGTGAGTCCCAGGGCCAGCAGAGGCTGCATGGTGGGGGGGCATAATCTTTCCACGCTCCTGTAAAATCTGGCTTGTGGAACCTTTATGCCTAGACTATGCTAATTTATAAGTAGCTTCACCATAGACAACAAGAGCCCCCATTCCTCTCTTCTGTCCCTGATTTTCCATCTGGTAGGAAAGAAGCCTCCTCCATTGGAAAAAAGAAAGAAATTCAATCTATTTCTAATACCTGAATAAAAATTATTCAATAGCTTATATCTCTCTGTATATTTTGCCTAGGCTCATTTTTCCTATACCTAGTTTAAGTTTGAGAGGTAGAAATAATATATCAAGTTTATTAATCAGTCTGCTTATCATTTTCCTTGATCTTAGGATATTAGGCTAGTTCTCAGAAATAAAAAAAAATTGAATTCTTACTTTGAAAGTAAACTGGGTATTTTCTATCCTCATCGTATATATGCAAATTATTGACAGTAAAAAATAAAACTTCTTAGTAAACCTCAAAAAATAGTGTGTGTGTGGTGGGGCATTGTGTAAATTATCAGAGAAAATGTATTAGAGGGGAGGTTTGGCATTCTCAGCCTCTTCGCTTTCACATAGTTGGCAGCACTTTTTTCTTAAGGCTAATGACTTGATGACCAAGAAAAGAGATCCCACTAAATTCATTGACTTATCCTTGCTCAGAATGAAAGTGGAACTGGTCACACATTTTGTGGGTGGAAGGTCAAGCCAGAATCCTACATGTCTTTGTTCTGGCTGGAACTTGCCACAGAGCCCAGGTTGGTGTGGACCTTGTTATGGCCTCCTTGTCTCAGCCTCCTTAGTGCACCATCATGCCCTGCCATAGCATTCATTCTTGGGAGTGAGTATGGGAATCTATGAGAGGTGAGCATGGAGGATTCATGCTCATATATCCAACCAGAAGGATTCCCCAAGCAATCCAGTGTTTTCTCATCCTAGTGCCAAGCCTTGCCTCTGGTGAGCATGGAACATTGAACCAATCTTCTCCTTCTAGCGTAATAATTTTTACCATCCACTAATTTGCATATAAGCAAATTCATTTTTCGAAAAATAAAAAGGCATATTTTTAAATTAAAAGCTACATAGGAGCGGAAAGCAATTCCATTTACCATAAAATGCTCACCTTAAATAACAACCATAGTTTAGTCAAATGTAGCTCAACTGAAGAAGTTATAAATTTGAAATTAGATATAAATAATAATAATATACTTTGCAAATATATAAAATAAATAACTAAAATGTTTTTACTGCCCAACTATTGGCCAATCAGCTTTTATTTAACAATGAGCACAATCCACAGCATGGAAGTGTAAGCCAAATCAACCCTTTCCTCCCCAACTTCCTTTTTGGTCATGGTGTTTCATTGCAGCAACAGGAACCTTAACTAAGTTGCATTATTTGTTCCCACAGAAGCTCTTTTTGTGTCTTACCTCCTCAGTATATCAATTCAGGCTGTACGGGGTGCTAATGGATTGCAAAATAGAGCTTAAATCAACAGAAAAAGGCTCTCTGTCAGAAGTGTATTTTCTTTTTTGTATCACAGGGTTCATTCCTATTTTGTCTTCCGTTTTCCACTGCAAGGCCCTCATCAATATCCAAGCAAGTGCTTATAAAATACTCTTGGATTACCAGAACCATCAGCCAAAATAGAGCCCTTTCTTTTAGAAATTACACAGTGTCAAGTATTCTGTCACAGCAACAGCAAATTACTAAGGTAGTCACTTGCCATGAACCTAAGAATAGATAACGAGAAGCTGTCACCTCTCCCCCAGTACCCAGTTCTAAGCATCTCTACTCTCAAAAGTCCAATCCTAAGTCCTAAGAGAACTGGGAAGCTCATTCATGAACTACATTCAACAAGTTGCTTTACAACCCCATGAAAAAAGCTACTTGATTTACTTCACTCACCATCATCCAGTCCAGGCTGAGCAGACAATTTCAGTATGGCTCCTACATGGAGTGAGTGTACTGGCTATATGGGTTAGGGTACATTGTTTTGTCACCCGCTCTGGAAATTAGAAAATTGATAATCTGTATTTAGATATCCATCCAATGATTACTTTCACAATATTAAGCAAATGCACACTTTCATATGTTAAGTTGAAGTCTTCCACTATGGAAATCTATCAAAATAAGGTCCACAAGTAGATAGCTGACACCAACGAGGTGAATCAGTGATCAAGATGATTAAGAGATGTTTAAGTGATGGTCACTACCATTATTTCTTAGGCAATATATAATTCTAAAACAAGGAGGGAAATGCAACTTTTATACTACACTTGAATTATTTACATATTAATTATTTACAACCAGCACTCTTTGCAAAAATATAAGATACAAAATGATAATAGTAGTCACAAAATCTTTTACAAAATTGAAAAAAAGAACAAGAATTCATGGGTGAACTTAATTTTTCCAGTCATGAGTAAGAGAGACTGCAACATCTTGCTACCATTTAACAACTCCCAAACTGGATACAATATATTAAACAATCAGCTTAAATGATGTTGGATGATAAGAAACAGAATGATAAGAAACAAGGAGTATCATTCTAGCGCCCAGGCCATTTGGCTGAGGGTAAGTTCTGGGTTGTAGCATAGCAATGAGAACCCAAAATGAGGGGATCTCACTAAATTGAAAAGATAGAGATGAAGGTTTCGAAGGTCACAGAGAATAGAATTTATGCCACAGAAAACTGGAGTGAGAACCACGTAGAAAAATATTCAGAGAGAATGATGGAGTTCTTTGAGTACTTTGCTGAACACTGTCCTCATAGGTAGGCAGAAGCCCCAAGAATCCAGGAGGCCCAGACTTGCAGGAAAAGAAAAATTGTCATAGAGCTTTAGGCCAAATGTTTCCCAGAGATTGTTCATGACTGACACTTCTATGAACTCCCTCCAGCAATGTTGGAGTAGCAGTGTGAATGTAAATGCATTCAGAAATGACCCTAGAAGGGTAAGCCTTTAAAATAAGGGCTACATTAGCCCTGGAACAGACATTACATATCTGCTTTTTAAAAGTCATAGAATAAAACATAATAATTCTGACCACAATTCATTGTCACTTAGAATAAGTCCTTAGAAGAATTAAAAACAAGATACACAGAAGACATAATCTCTAGCATTCAATGACATAAAAAATCACAATACCCCCCCACACAAACACAAACACAAACCAAACAAACAAAAACAAAGTCAGGCAGTGGTCATACATGCCTTTGATCCCTGCACTCTGGAGTCAAGCAGATTTCCCAAAGTTACAGAGAAACCCTGTCTCAAAAAACAAAAACACAAAAAATTCACAATACCAAGTATACAACAAAAAAGTTACTAAATACCAACTGAACAGCAAAAGATGAACTATAGTTAAAGAATATATTAGTGTAAACAGCAGAACCATATAGGATACATACAATAGAATTTTCAGTCATGTCAAAATGATAAATATAATTATTATCTCTTCTGTCTACTAAACATATGATGGAAAACATGATCACAATATGGAATACAAAAATGGGTAGAAAATGGCTATAAAACACAACACTTAAAATGAAATTTTCTTTGCAAAAACAGCAAGTTAGACACTGATAGTAAAATTCTAGTGAATTAAAGGATGTGAAACAAATCATGCGAACAAACAAAAGTAGGGGAGAACCTCAATGAATGTGTAAGATTAATGTAAGTGTAAATGGAGTTGTAGAAATAGGTGCTGGAGAAAGCAGAACAAAACAATTTTATCTGAAAAATTTTTGTGAATGAATAATTTTTTAAGTTTTTTTCAAATCTAATGAAAACTCTAAACTCATAGATCGAGGAACCCCCAACCTCCAAGGAAGAAACTGAATGCATGCACAAACCCAGTGGTAGTCTACTATGACTGTTGTTCATACTGAGTTTTGTTAATAATCTCAAAAGACTTCAGACTCTTGATCCTCCTGCCTCACCTTTCCCAGTGGTGGTACTACAGGAAAGTGATGTCATGAATGGTACTGAGTAGTTATTTCTAACTGAGCTGTGATGTCTGCAAATGCACTGTAAGTGATTTCATATGCCCATAACTTTCAGATTCTGTTTATATATGTTTAGCTATTTATTTCTTCAGTGCTGTGAATTGAGTCTGATTCTTGTTCATGTTAGGTTGGTACTCTAATTCAGCTATAATGTGGGTCTCACAGTATTCGAGCAGTAAAAATGGCTCACATGAAATAATCCAAAGCCACTCCACATGACAGACACTGTTATAGAACTGGTCTTTTTCTGTGCCTATGGAAAGAACACAGACAGCTAAGCATCTAACTGCATCTTTCAGCTGGTGTTCACTGAACGCAATGACTGCTATGTTTTTTACTGAAGCTTCTTCTTTAGATTCTGAGTCTTCACAGTTTTCCATTTCCCTCTCTCCTCTGTTCCTAGGAATCTCAGAGTAGTTTTTTCCATGCTAATATTATACAGTCCCAGGCCAAGTATACAGTCCCATCTTTTCTTCATATACCTTTTATTCTCTCATCTGTAGTTGATGCTCTGTTGAAAGCAGAAATTGCTGAAAAACGGAACAAAGGAAAGAATAGTACATTGGAACTGGAGACATCCAGGAAGTATGTTACTACCATATTAGTCTGAAAACAAAAGTAGAAGGAAAGGTCATGGCACTACATATGCTGAGTCCAGAGAGAGTAACTATATGAAGAGGGTAGTCTGTTATTCAAGACCATTTTTATTTACCTAAATTAGACATTAAACTCCTCTGTGTACCAGAAAGTATCTTAAGGATATTTCCTGCCACATCTCTTTTTATTAGCTAATTCTTGCAGTGCTGGGAATTGAAGCCAAGGTCTTCTACATCTACGATAAGTGCTTTACCACTGAGTTTCACCCCAACCTTCATGTAACATCTCATTAACCTTCACTGGTGCTGGAAGCAGCATCATTTCCCTGTGGTACAGAGGAGGGAATGCAAACCTTTGAGAACTCAGATGTTTTCTAATACCCCTAAGGGCTAAGCATTTGTTTGTGTAATTCCAGCACCTAGACTTCAACATGTATTCATATAGTCTTCTATGTGTTCCAGAGTATCTGAATAGAGATAATGGAAGTCATGGGGTGATGATGAGATCATTACAAAACAGAGGAAGAGGAGAGGGAGGGATGGAAGGAGATAAAGGGAGGGGAAGAAAGAGAGATGGAAGGAAGACTAGGGAAGGAAGGATGAAGGAGGAGAAGCAGAGGGAGTCAGAAAGCAAAGAGAGGGAAAAGGGAGGGAGGGAGGGAAGGAGCAAGGAAGAGAAGGAGGGAAGGGAGGGAAGGAGGGAGAGAAAGAGAGAATGTGAAAAATGAAATGTACACCAGTAATTGTCAACCAGAGTATAAAGAATGAAACGTGAGAGATGCAATCAAAAGCACCCAGGGAGGTTGCCTGTGACACGATGAATGGCAGGAGATGAACCAGCTTGATCCCATTCAGACTTCCTATATAACATAGGCACATTCATATGGATGTCTTAGAGACACAGTTGTTGTGAGTGATGAAAGAGCAGGCCATAAGAACAATGAGGTGAGAACTAAGTCATACTCAATATCTCATGGTCTTAGAGGGATTGCAGTTGACCATGGAATTCAAGACCAACTCTTCAGCAATTTCCAGCATCAGTAACCCAATATTTGTAAATTGACTTCCAGCACTAAGAGGATGAAGACCCTATCTGATATTTTCAACCAACATTTAACTTTATGCCAAAATATTAGAAAATAACATTAAAGAGTCCTTTTTTAGGAATTGTTTTTTTTTCTCTCCATTCTCAGAATTCTTAGTTATGCTGAAATCCTAAAAGGAATTGTAAGGTTGGGGCTTCAATTACCTTTCAAAAAACAAAAGTAGCTTAAGTGGACCTGAATCTAAAATGTTTCTTAGGTCTCAGCTGATGGGGCAGTTTTTGGAGACTGTGAATTAAATACCCATTTTGGCTCATGGTCTTAGAGGGATTGCAGTTGATCATGAAAAAGAAGGGAGGACATCACAAGTGTCTTTCCATGGTTGGACAGTATGCAGCTGTAGCTTCTTATCATAGCATAGGCCAGGAACAGAGAGTGCTTGCCCAGACAATCTGTATACCCTCCAAAGACCATCTCTAGCGACCTACTTTTCAGCCTGGACCAACTTCCTCAAGATTCCACAACCTCCCAAAATAGCACCAGCAGAATTCTGAGACAGGACAAGACACAGAGAACAGGCCACATGGGATAAAGCATTCTACCATCCAGAGAAAAACACAATATGAACCAAGAAATGAGGCAAAGCCACTGAAGGAATTGAAGTGGCAAACAGACATGATATCTTCACCTTGACTTAATGCATGCGCAGAGAATTCAATGCCTTTCTCTACTGTGTCTCATCCAATTTTCTTCTTTTTCAGTTTCACAATTGATGGTTGAGTTCTTATTATAAAAATCAAAATTCATTGTTGGGGAATATTCCCAAAATGAAAGAAAAGACTAATAATTACCAATTAGACTGTCCCCTGCTGTTAGCATTTCTGCAAACTTCCAGTTCTGTATTTTATTAGTTAAATAAATCTCACTTTAAGGACCCATCTTCCTATTGTCAGCTGATTCTCTAAAGATTCTAACTTGTAATACCTGTTTCAATTCATTATTTATATGTAAAGTGTTGACTTCATAGTGTCTAACATTCTTAAAATAAATTTTAGTAGAATGGGAGATGAGTCATAAAATATTTAAAAATATTATTCTGATCATTATTTTTCATTTGTAACTAATCAACATTCCCTTCATACAATTGGCTTGATCAGTAAGAATCCATTTTAATATTAAAATAGAGGCTTACTTAATTGCTTATTATGAATATCTAGATATTCAGTAGTTTCTGCTGAAAAGTCACATACTCCCCCATTTAACTACTGTGGCACCTTGATTAAAAAACAATTGACTCAAGGATCATGAACTTAAATGAGGTAAAGGGTCATCAAAAGAAATAAAATAAGAATAGTTGAGC